TAATAATGTGCCCTCAAAACTGTTTTAATGTCACAGAGTTTCCAAATGACTGGACTTTTTTTGGAGCGACCAGGGACAGCAGACAGGGTTTAAAAAGTTATAACAGTATGGGTCAGGTTAACGCTTACAAAATTACGAAGTTGCGAAAAATAACTCTTAAATTCATTATTTTGTGGCAATTTGGGTTTTAGTTTTTATATTTTGGAGTGGATGACAGAATCTACTAATACAAGGGTGGTCTACTCAATCTGAGAATGAAACCCAAACCAACTCATAGTCAACACATGCATAAAACATTTGCTTTTGAAAATCTATAGACTTCACTGAGCAAAATATTACGCTCAGTGAAGTTACATTGTGTTTAGATGTTAGCTAATTGTGCCATTGTAAGCATGCAATGCCTTGAGTCTTATGTACAATTTAGTTACTGTATTTAGTGCTTAAAGAAGACAATTGTGCTTGTGTTTGCTCTATAGTTATAATTATAAAGTTATAAAGACACTCGTGGGTCATTATGTTTTCATTTGCACATTTTAAATCACAATATTCATCTAAAGAAACAAATTGAACTAATTTCCTTTGGGATAATTAAGTATCTATCTAATCTATCTAAACTAATCTAAAATAAACAAGTGCTTTTACTTCTGTGTTAGAAAACTGTGATATCCTATAGAGCTGTAAGTGCCGCAATGTAGGGTAAACCTAAACCTAATGCTTTTCTGTGGCAAAATATCTGTGGAAATGTCTCGCATATTTTCCACCAGCTTCATAAATCTGCTCCATCACCAAATCTTCATCCAACAAAGTCGACAAAGGACATATTCCGTCCATGAAGAATTTATCCACAACTATCAAGGTAAGAAAGACAAAAACGTAAAGGCAAACAAAGACGAGCATTAGTGAAGTACTACAGAGCAAAACTAACATTATGGTAATGAATAAAACATAATTAACTTGTTAACTCAGACTGATTCTAGCATTCACATTAAAAATTGATTTCATGATGTAGACAGAGAGATTTATGCAGTCCGAACGCTACAGATGTTCACAGTTTACATGTCCAACATTTAAACTGTACAAATCTCTCTGTCTATGCAAAATATGTCCTTTGTGGACCTTGCTGGATGAAGATTTGGTGATGGGGCAGTTTTAGGAAGCTGGTGGAAAATATGCGAGACATTTCCACAGATATTTTGCCATAGAAAAGCATTAATCAGAAGTTATGTTTACCCTACATCGCAGCACTTCCGGCCGTTGTGAAAAAGGTCTACGGGACCAGACGTTGCAGTAAACCTCGTCACAGCAAAGAGTCGTCCGATGGAAAGCTGCAGATCATAGCGAGTACCATACCAAAATGACAATGCAACACTGCCAAATCCTACGTGTACCATCAATTAAGAAAATAAAACTGAAGAAAGAAGTCAGCACAGAGCAGTGAGTGTATGCCGGTGGTGGAGAAAGCAAGGATTGATCGCAATATGGCGTCTTGAAAATAAGCAATTAAAGATTGCACAAACATGCACAAATCACTCCAAGCACAACTTCGGGTGAGTAAATGGCGAGAGGAAACAACTATAACATGGTTAAAAGCTCTGAAAAGTCAATTTTGCATAATAGGTCTGCTGTAACAACAAATTTACAAATTGCTCACAGATTTTACTTTAATTGCGCACTAGTTAAAACTGGATGTGAAAATATGTTTCTCTTAACTATGCTAACTTTTCATTTTCTTTCACTCTCGCAATTTGACTCTACTTCACAAGCTTTTTCCACACATTTTACAGAACACTAACTACAGTATCCACAGTATCTATTGTAGTCATTAGGGGTGTGCAAAAATATTGAAATATTGAGATATCGTATCGTTTAATGTGATGATACAGTATTGATTTCATGGGCTGCTGTATTGACATATCGCCAAGAGTATTTTTTGGTATATTTTACTCAATTATTTTGTTACAGCACTACAGTTTTGTTGCTTGATTAGTGGAAGGAAACTCATTTATGCAACACATTTGACGTTTTGATGATTAAAATGTGTGTTTTTCATATTAACTTTGCACAAGAAGTGGTTTAATAAACACTTATATTACCACAGCCATTATTTAGCCATTATTTTTATTGAACCGTATAGAATCGAAAGTGCACTGTATCGAGATATGTATCATATCGTGGTCTATGTATCGAGATATGTATCGTATCGTGGTCTATGTATCGAGATATGTATCGTATCGTGGTCTGTGTATCAAGGTGTGTTTCATATCGGCAGCTTCTTAATGATACCCAGCCCTAATAATCATGTAGGCACAGCACCAAGTCCATTTGCAGGTTATAAATCCAAGATATACATTCTGGGGAAAGCAAGAACATCACCATGGCAACAAGCAGGTACTAGATCCTCCACTAGACAAGTTACATAATGCATCTTTAAACCTACTTCTATATTTGCAGAGTTCCTACGATAAAAAAGGAATTAGAGTATTCTGTCCAAGCTAATACATCTGAAGAATTTGACTTTATTTGTTTGGAGGATAAGCCCCTGAACTGTAACTAATCACTAAATATTCTACGCTCAGTTCAGCCCACCTCCGCCAGTTTAACTCCTATAGTCACCTCTGCAGTGTGAATAATGAGCGGTTGAGGAAATAAGACGTATGATCACACGTACAAACTCCCAGCTATTCCGTGTAGCTTTACCCTTAAGCTTTCAATCAAACTGTCAGCGCTAATATGTAGCAATTCCAATTTACCCATGTTCATTTCCTGGACTCCAATCAGGGCGCGAGGCAGTGGAAGAGGTTTTAAATGCAACAATTATGACTTACTTAGAATGCGTGATTAGCATGAATCAGCAGGCGAAGCTTATAGTGTCTATATAGTGCATTTGACTTATTTCTTAGAAAGTCCACCCATTCACATCTAAGTATCGAGTGAATTGACATGGTTGGTTCATTTAAAGGGCCCATATTACACTATTTTCTGATCTATGTTGTGATGTTGTTTCACAAAATATCACTACATGACATCACAAGATGGAATAGAGCATTTTGAGCTTTGGAGATGTAGACTGAAGGCCGTAACAAGTAATAAAGTGTCGTGAGTGTACTACATGCATATATTAAATACTGAAATCATATGTTTGTTTGAATATTACATAATGCTTAACCACTGAAATCTGATATAAATGTTTAAAGGTACCACTGTGTGAAAACACATATGTTCTTAAGGTGTTCCCTTTGCAGAGATGAGGGTTGAGTCTTTTTAAGGAACTCCTTTACAGAGCAGCTGACGTGGGGTCATCCTGGCTGGCACCAAGCCTAAATAGACCTGGCTATAATTGAAATCTGATGGTCATCCCCATAAACGGAGAGGCTTCAGGGAGGATCCAAGGCATGAACCTGGTCAACATATCATTTGCATATTCATGTGGTTGTCTTATATTTCTGGGTGGAGGGATGTTGCCTGATGTAAGTCCTGTGTAGCTGTAGGCCATCAAGGACAGTGATTTGACCCGGAGCTATGTATTAGAATTGTATTGAATGGGGAATACATTTTTGTGATTTCAATTGATTGATTCCAGTCTTTATTTCTCTGATAGAACACGCTAACAAGACAGACTAATAATAAGTGAATAAAATAAAACAAAACACAACTCCAGGAATGTTTTTGAGGAGGTAGCCACATTATAACATGGCTTAAAGCTCACAACGGTCTATTCTGTGTATTATAGGACTAACAAATCTCAGTAGTAACGAGGCAACATGAACATAACCACCCAAATTCAGAGCTTGATAATGAAGGAATAGTTTGTCTAATAGTCTAACATACATGGGATTTCTAATAATTGCCTTGTTCATGACAGTGTCCGTGTTGTGTCCATGTTCATGCAATCTCAACAGTTTTCACCCATAGACTGTATATATGAGTGGACATAGCTAACGTGCTAGCCGCCGTGTGCCAAATAGGAAGTTCACCAGGAGGCTCTTCCGGCTCCTTTTGACCCTGGCTCCAATTGACTTACATTGGGATCTTGTGGCTCCTTTCTCTGTACTTGCTGCAGTGAGCCTCATCATTTTGGTCTTAAATGTTCATATTAACCCGTGACACATGATCCTGAATTTGTTTTTCTCTATTTTGTCCATCAAAAAATTCATTAACATCACGAGCCTCATTTGAGCGGCGCTGAACGCTGTGGGTGACGTCACACTCGCTTCGTCCACTTCTTTTATACAGTCTGTTTTCACCGAGCGACCTGCTTTTGGTCTTAAAAGTGTCTCAAAGTACCAGTGACCCTGAAGCTGATGGGCAAGTGAGCAAAAGGTGCACTAAAAGCAAGATAGATCAGTCCGATGGTCTACTGTGGAACAGACAAAGCAATGACATCTCCATGGAGACAAACTAGTAGTGGACCGCTCACCCTGAAAGTTACACAGGGCACCTTTAACCCTGTATCACAGTATTACACGCTTTTAATTTGTTGCCCATTTTAAAACCCATGCATCTTAATCATATTACCAAAACATTAATCACAAAAGGAACAAACTTGATGCGCCTATGTTTGAAAATGGACACAGCTAATCCACTAGCCACCTCATTCAAAACAGGAAGTGAGCATGAGGACACTTCCGGCTCTGACTTTTAAAAATTATCGCCCCTCTCTCTGTAACTGTTGCAATAAGCCTCTCCATTTTGGTCTTAAAATGTTCTTATTAACCTGCTCTATATAACCCTGGGGTTTTTATATTCACCATTTTGTCCATAAACAAATTCCTCTCCCTAATATGGAAATACCTCCAAATTTGCCCCTATATAACCACGAGTATCATGAGCTTCGTTTGCCTGGAACTGAACGTTAAGGGTGACGTCGCACTCCCTTATTCCACTTCTTTACACAATCTATGGTTTGAAGCTACCATTTCTACAATTCTTTCTGGTCTACTTCCTGTATTACCCAAGCTCTTCTCTAACATCCAGTCTTAAGTGAGTTTGCCAGGCCTTACCGTGGTCTTCTGACACTGGATACTGGTGCTGTTGAACCTCAGAGCAGGAACGCTGTGGCTGCTCCCCTGGATGTGGAAAATGCACTCGTAGTTCCTCTGTCCGGACTGCGGCTGGGGGAGGTTCTGGGCCAGGAGGGTGATGGGGCGCATGACTCCGGCCGGGATGTAGATCTGTGTGGAGGGCAGGATCTGAGGACACTCCTGTGAATAAAACAAACGCACCACTCAGGATTCTGCACCAAAGAGAAGCCACGCAGGGGTCTTTGAAGAGAGAGGGGTGGAGCAGGGGGAGTCTGTTGCACTATGTATCGGACTCAGAAATATTTGATTTAAGTGGGACGGGAGGGGAATGCAATGGGGTGTACGATTGCAGGGTTTGGGTCGGTGTTTTCATCATTTCAGCCGTGATACTGTACCTCTTTTTTCTCCAATTAAATGATTCAAGTCTCAAATTATTCACAACTAATATCAAGGTACTGAAGGTGTTTTTTTTTAAAGAAGTAATTAAAGATCTAAAGGTAGATTGTGTAACTTTTTCGTCAAATGATTTCCTCCATGGAGATGTTGTTGCTTAACCTTTCTACTTTCATGGAAACCAAACCAAACCAAGTTACAGGTCAGATCTGTGGCAAGACAACCCCGCTCACAGTCAGAATGCCAGTTTTTCAAAGTATTTTTGAGGTTTAAACCACATGTAATTGAATAAAAGTAAGGTAGAAATGCGGAACATTCCAGGTAGAGCAATGACATCTCCAACCAAAAAGTTACACAGTGCACCTTTTATATCTTTCAATATTAACTAACTTTGAAACTACTTTATGCCACTGACAATAACAATAAAACAGGATAATCCCAGTAAACTCCTTTTTTAAAGACAATATCATGAAAAGGTCTGAGCTGCAACAAATAACCAGCAGAATGAACCAATAATGAGCCATAAGAGCCATTCAACCCTCTACAGCTCAAATGTTATTGTATTATTATTAAAATAACACAGATTTCTCCACTTTTGAAAGAAAAAAAAAAAAAGAAAAAGCACCCAAGATAAATATTAAGCTCCATAATATTGTTCCAGCTTTCAAATATTAAACTATAAATCGATATTTAGTAATAATTATGACAGGCCTAATAGTAAATATGCTGTGTTTTGGGTCTTATTTACCATTTGGAGTCAGTGCATAACAACAAAAACGAAAAGTTAAGTTTTTTTTACACAAATTGCTCACAGATTCTACTTTAAAGTATGGCAGTGGAATGCAAAAAGGGTGTGTACTATTGCGTGGTTTTGGAATTTGTTTTCATCGTGGTGGAGGACGCTGTGACTCTTTTTAATTAAATGATTCAAGCCTCAAATTATTTTTGATGAGTTAAATAAATAAATAAATGTTGTCATGTCCTGGGGCGAGGCATTTAACCCATCTTACCCCCAGTGTCTGCGTACTCTGGTGTATGAATGTGTGTGTTAATGGGTGAGTGGTTTCTTGATGTAAAGCGCTCTGAGTGCCTTGAAAGTGGAAAAGTGCGATATAAATATGTGACCATTTACCATAAATAAATAAAAACAAAAAGACAAACAGTGAAGATGACCATGAATCCGTGTATCATTCGTTCATTTGATTTTCAAAATAAAACCAAAAATAAGAAAACTAAAAAACAACAGTTTCCTTCTTTATTTGTCTCCGAAACCAAAATGAAAAAAACAGATAACTTTTTTTTTTTTTTTTCAGTTTTCGGTTTTGTGTTTAAATAATGGAAAAAATGGATAACGGTCGTTTCCCATTTCAGAGACTTAAACTGTAATGCACCGGAAAACTGACTGAACCAGGACTGAATCAGGACTGAAACAGGACTAAACCATTTTCAGTCCTGGCCTGGTCCCAGTCTCAGTCCTCGTTTGGTCCTGGTCTAGTCCTGGTCTGGTCCCGGCCTGTCCCGGTCTCTGTCCTGTTCCTGGTCTCAGTCGAGGTCTGATTCTGGTTTGGTTCCGGTCTGGTTCTGAACCTGGTTTAGTCCTGGTTCAGTCCGTATGCGGGGCAAAAGTCCAGCATCGCAGTTGAAGTCACGTAACAGGAAAAGGCAGATGTCCGTTTTTTCCATTATTCATTTAAACACAAACTCAAAAACTGAAAAAAAAAAAAAAAAAAAATCATTATTTGTTTTTTCATTTTGGTTTTGGAGACAAATAATGAAGAAAACAGTTGCTTCTTCATTTTCTTATTTTTGGTTTTATATTGAAAAACAAATGATACACAGATTACCATGCTTGCAGTATAAAAACGTATTTGTAATGGAGTAAAAAAAAGCGGTCAAAAAAAGAAATGAAGATTTGTTTTATTAACTAAGTTACACATGCAATCTCAAAAATTCAATTGTTCCTTACTACTACTACTAAAGTATTAGTAGTTGCTCTTTTTGGAGACTGCAATATTGAATCATCTCAAAACATAAAAGAACAGTAAAAGTACCATTTGCACATTTTTGTATTGAACACTTCTGATGGATACTCCCCCCTCCTCACTCATCACATTCAACAGTCTGCACCAGTCTGCAACCCCACCGCTATGACCCCCCCCCTTCACTCCACATACAATGCAATATCCATTCTAATTGAGCTGTAATTGTCAATAGGAAACAATTGTAAATACGACATGGGAGCACTTTTGGCATGGCGGGCTCTGAGTAATCCATTACATCCTTTTATCCCTGCAGCTGAGAGCATCGTGCACATTAAACGCCGTCCCAGATGTATTCGCCGTGCTTTGTTCTGCGTTCGGAAACATGTTTGAAGATACCAGCCAGCCTTGCCGTTACCGCTTTCCTGCAAATTATCTCGTCCTATTTTTAAAACACTACATATTCAAAATGGTGCCAACTTGTCAAAACGCGTCCGTGGCACTTGTGAGTTTAAATCCGTGGGGTATTAATGAAGCGTTTATGGATATTAGGCCTGCTTCTGTCCGTCCGCAGAATGGGAGATTGGTATTCAGTCGGAGTGGACACAAATGATGGCCCCGGGGCTGTGTCTCTGTGTGAGTATTCTAGCTCCCATCGCATTAATACTGTACTGCACGCATTACATAAGATGGAGAGATGATTTTATTTATATATTTATGTTGTGTGTGTGTGTGTATTTCGGGGGTTGTTATGAGCAGGTCATTAGTAATATTATGTAGAGTGAGGTCTGTAGTGTTCTCTTGAGAGCAGATGGGAAGGTGTAGTACAGTAGCCCTGCAGGGACATGCTGTATAGTCGAGATGGAAATAGATATGCAAAAGGGTTTGCAGTAAATTTAAAGGTTCTATATTACGCAAAATTGACTCTTATGAGCTATAAACCACATTAGAATGTTTATCTCATGAAAAACATACCTGGAGATGTTTTGTTTCATTCACACGTGTTTGAGTAACCCTTTGTTATTGGTTTGTCTGCATCTCCAAAGCTCAAAATGGTCTGTTTTCAAGTTAACAGCTACCCTTTACCTTTTGTTCGGTAGAGATTGGCAGGTGTATGGAGTTTGAAAACACAGTGGAGCACTTCTTGTTTTACCACATGAAATCACAAGGTGGAACAGTATTTTCAGTGTGAGCAAAAACGACAGTAGTCCTAAATATATAGAATTGGTGTGTGTTAAACATGTGTGGATGAAACAAAACACAACTCCGGGTATGTTTTTGATGAGAAAACGTTATAACATCGATCAGAAAATAGCTCAAAATGTATCCTTTAACTCATACACATAAGTACTGTATAAGTGCTGTGTATAAATAAGAATATAAGTGCTGTGTTTGGATAGGCTGCAGCTACATAATGTATAGAATAAAAAAATAAATAAAAAATTTAGTAGTTCTCACTAGTCAACTACCAGTACCACTAACATGAAATTGTAACTAACATGTTAAATTTGATTTTAAAACTAAGAAATAGGCTTGCCAATTTAAATACGACAATAACAATTAGGGCTGGGAATTGCAGGGTCCTTCATGATTAAATCTGATACTCAGTACATGACTCACGATACTATATCACATGAAACTCTGTGATACATAGCTGTTTTTTAAGAAACAAATACATTTTAGCAACGATATTTCTTTGTTATACCACTACCAGTGCAAAGTTTATATGAAATATGTCTATTTTTACCATCAAAACAGTAAATATGTCAAGGGTACTGCATAAACAACACAAAACAGGCTAAAAGATGTACCAAAAAAATACTCGATACAGCAGCCCACGATAATGATACAGTATCACCAAATTTATTGTCACAATAATGTAAAGGTCAAGTTCGCTCTTACACACATGAACATACAGTCCATGACATTTAATAGTAAGGTCACGCTTTTATTTTGGTGGCTTCCTGTGTGAGGGGAAGTGACAGTAAAACTGAAAAGACATAAGTAAAAACAGCAACAGTTTACGATACAAAACAAAAATAACTGTGAAAAGTTATAAAAACAAAACAACTAAAGACAGCAACAGTCGACAGGGGAACAAGGTTGGTGAATGTATATTTGAGCTTCATGTAATTTGTACTGAAATAATGTTAAAATATGGATAACGGTTAAACTGTGTAATGAGCAAGTGATACAATGATCATATGGTAAATGATTTTATTTTGTTCTTGTCAAAATAAAGGACACGGCAGGACACGGCAAGGAAAAGATTAAAAGTCATTTAACCATCACTTCTGGCCTTTTCCATTTGACTGGAAACTACAATATTGATATTTCTATATTTTTGCACATCTCTAATGATAAAACATTAAAAATGGGTGTGTTTTTTATACAAGACGAACCATTTTAACCATATGGTTCTGAAAAAAACTGTCAATTTATGTACTGTTTATGTCAGTTTTTTCAGTATCAAGTTTTGATACTAGTTTTAGTTTTATCAATTCTATCCACATATTCAGCTACACTAAAGTGAAATGTTTCATACAGCTGCACACAAAACTTTGCAAACATTTGCTCAAATATATAAACTCAGTTGCAAAAAAGTTCTACGTTAACTGATCATTTGCAAGTAAAATGAAGTTGTGAAAACATGATGGATTTGCATGTAATTTAAAAAGCATGCAGTACAGAAAACAGTCCAAGCTTTTGCTGAAAACCTGCCCATAAAGCTTGTTAGCTAATAACCTTACAACAGCCAGTGTTCACAAATGAAAACCTCCACTTTTCAGTAAACCCATTAACATCTAA